AATCACATCCTTGGCGGAAATAAATGAATTGAGTTACCAAACGACGTAGATGATTATGTTGGTACATTTTATTATAAGTCATTTTATTACAGTTTTGAGAAATAGAAATAGAAATAGAAATAATCTTTATTCAAATAAACTCATTACAAGCACTTTTGAATAGTCATATTTTGATTCTACCACTCATTCGGAATGCAGATTCATCACAAGAAGAATGAGCAAGAAACTTGTGTGTTGCTCTTTTTAATAGATGTTTTTTTTATATAAATAATTACAGTATAACAAGTAAGAGGCATGCGATAATCAACATAGAAGTCGCTACGCACTCATTATTAATGTAATCAGATAATATTGTCAGTGCTATAGATTTAAAGTTTTTCTATAAAAACATTATTATCGTTAACGAATTCTTCAATTTTATAAATAATGTGATACCTAGAAATACAGTATCGTCAACAAAATTAATAGATTTATTGTCCAATACGATTTTTGAATCTACCGGCCTTACATTGGGGAGAGTAAATTTGATACATTTAGTTTTATTTGCATTTAGTAGCATATTATTTGCCGTAAACCATTTTAAAACATAAGAGAGAGAACCGAGATATAACTTTAATTATGTAATTTGTGTATTTGATTTAGTTAATGTATAACAGCGATAATATTTAATTTTTACCAATATTATAAATGCAAAAGTAGCTCTATCTGTCTATATGTGTCGCTTTCACGCCGAAATTACTGAACCGATTTAAACAAAATTTGGTACACAAACAGTCTAGATCCTGAGAAAGGACTACTTTTTAATGTGAAAGAAGGGCTGTAAGAGGATTAAGTCGCGGGTACAGCTAGTAAATTTATATTGTACATATTCTTTGGAAATCTGACGCAGTCACAGTAAATTTCGTGTAAATTTTAAAGAAATAGACTCTAAACATATAAGTAGATTAATAAGACTGTTATTTCTGTTATTGATTTGCGCAGTATTATTCTTAATATTAAGTAATTTAAGTAGTACTGCGCTGTAGCAATTTTACGTGAGCATAATCACATTCTTGACGGTAAAGTTAATAAAGGAATGTATTTACCTAATGGCATTTGTATATTTAATGATGCAAACCAGGGGACAACATAATCTTTGTACAAGAATCTGTGTAAAATAATTAATGTTCTCTGAAAAAGGGTAAGATTAGATTATTTTAAGAGCCGCGTAAAGCTTACACTGGATAAAAAAACGAACGTTGCTTGCTGGCGATGCTTCTTGGCTACAATATTAATTACGAATTATAGTAAATTGTAAGAATATAACGTAATTTGTTTACTAAAATTCACTTTCACTTCACTTTAAATAAAATAACCCTAGTTTCGCGTAAAACCTGTAATTTCACCCTTGGCTGTAGTAGTATGAATGAATGGAGTTATCTTACAGGCTTCATGCCTGGTAAGAGTTATAATATAAAACAGGTGACGTCACGTAATTCGCCTACTATAGTTTTCGCATCAATTGATTAGGTAATTACCTTTATCGAAACAAGGTAATTACCTTGTTTCGATTACCAGGCGACAGTCTAAATTTAGTGACACTTGATTTCTACTAAAGGTATTTTATTAGAAAACAAGTGTATCATTAAACCTAGTCGTCATGTCGCCGACACTGTCGTAGTTTAGTGGTTACTACTTTGGCTTACGTAAAAAGTAAGTGAATTCGACTTTCTACGACGCCAAAAAAAAATTCTAAATGCCTCTCCGGTGATGGAATAATGGTTTCAATCTGAGAAACAGCAGTAGGTTTCTCTACATTGAATTCAAAATATCCAGTGACATATGGGCGTGTTAACTGTCACTGTGACATTGCCTCTACCTACCCCACCTGGGATAACAGTCGTCATGGTATATTTCTCATGAAACTAGTTTCGAGTAAAAGTCGTAATCATACCCTTCGCGATAGCATGAATGAAGTTATCTAACGGTCTACACAGGTGGTAAATATTTAACAAAAAACAAGTGATATGACGTAATCTGTCTACAAAAATCTATACAACTGATATAATTAGTGTACCCCGATAAAATCTCGGTAATTAGATTAATCAGAGGGCCGTGTAAATGTAATGGTTGAACACGTCCAATATAGTAATAAATAAGTATCTAGTACATATTATCCGCCTACCGAATAGACGATAAGGCTTTATATGAGAATGTTACGTTGACTATTTGTTCTATACTGACACAGCAGTGATTTGAGACGCTTGCTGTCCAGAAAAATGTAAGCCATAGTTCCTAGCTACTTATTAATAATTAGGTTTATTACCGGTGTGCTGTTGTATGTATGTAACAAGGCCACATGTTGAGCGGAGCGCGTTTATTCTTAAAAACTCGACCATTTACCGATCGGAATTTTTTTTAGTTGTAAGCGTTGGAGGCTCGAATGTCGACCTACGATGAAATTTTGGTCTGGATCGGCAAGCCATTTCGGTGGAGTATCGTTACAAAGAGTGCAAAATCTGATCTCAATGATCGCTTCGCGCTTCGCGCTCCGCTCAGTAAATACAAGTTTGATTAATTAAATATAGGTTGTAAAAAAAGTTTTTATTTATAACCCTAGTGATAATTATTCATTCAGACGATCATCAGCCTATATATATTAACAGCATCACAGACATCGCATGATCATGTGACGGCTGTGACAACACTCATGCATTACCATTCTATATGACTACAATATCATGCCTCGTATTCTGTAATTTCACTGACTTATCTACGACCAACTACTACTAGATACTGTATTCAGATAATAGTGTGGTGCTTGTTTTAACTTGCAACTTAATTATAACGTAATCATGTGTTTTAAGTAATTATTTTTTAAATATTCAGACAGGCAGTGACGTGATATGCCCGGTTCGTAGATTTCCGAAAATATAGTACAATCGAATTGTGATGCCATGATCATTCGTCATCCTCTTGAACGGATACTGTTTGTACAGACGGATCTGATCTGGACCCTCCAACTTATCTATTTTATTAAGTTAATAATTATAATAATCTCAACTCTTGTTTTCTTCAGTGTTATGTTGTTTCATAGTTTGTATTATTCACACAATTCTCATACTTGCAAAATTATTTCGATGTCTTTAATTGACTGAGTTTCTTACTCATTATTCCAATATGACAATGGAATCAAAAAAAAATTATTATATTCTATAATTAAATTTCATATAATTTTTATAGTGAAAAAATGTTTTTCTCTCTGTCTGTCTCAATTTATTAAAAAATGTATAAAATGATTTGTTTTAAATATCAGGATTTTTGAAAATATATTTGAATCCATTAATAATAAAGATTTCAACTATTATAGTAACTTGTTAGTGGGTCAGTAAAAGTTAGTCCGTTTCACAAGCAATCGTTACAACTTCAAAACTTTGGCAGTGTTATTACTCAGTGGAACTGCAAATGAAATGCTACTTACATCTATAGCAGAGCCCGTGGTATACATGACTAAAAGACTAGAAATGCAAAGGATGAGGCGACACTGAAAAGCAATTTATTCTAGAGTATTCTCGAGTATTAAATTTGAATGAAATATAAGTTGGAAATAGTACATCCCGCATTTTATATATAACTATATATGTGCTAATACTTTAAAGAGGATAGATTTAATTTTCTGTATATTTATTTATTTATAAGTATATTGAGACTAAAAAATATAATTGGTCTATGATTCGAAAAATTCTTACATACAATATATAGAATATAAGGGAGTAGCATTGGTTACATTCTATATAAACATAATCGCTGTATACTGTATACTACTAATATATATAATATTATTTAGGCGTATCGCTGAATTATGATTATCAAAAGTGATTTGAATTTGAATTACTAGTAATGTGGCCAGTAGGTGGTAACAATCCCCACCCCACTGTGTGTTAGCAAGTGGTAAAACGTGGTACACTATTTATTACTGCTTATATGGATTTTATATAAAACGCTTTACCATACATGTGTTCGTTAGTATGTATTTGGGTGTTTTGGCATACATATTGGCTTAATTTTATTATTTTAACCTAACTCCGTGGTACAAATTTTCATGAGCGAAACCATGAGACGGCCAGTTGTTAAGTGTACTTTCCTTCAAATGAACAGTCAGCATATTCTTAATAATAATAAAAAAAAAATTGTCAGTTCCAAAAATTCAATTTTATGAATAAATGAAAAATGAAATATGGTAATTTCGGAAAGTTAATTATAGCATTCGAATTCATAATATTTGAATTCGATTAGGTACACTGTCAGAACTGCCAGAGTGGACATTGATTCGGGTTATTTCAATCAGTACGTACATGTACATCTATAATGTTAATACTACTTATACCAGAATAGAATAGAATAAATCAATGAAGCGTAGTTTAGTTCTTCCTATTTATAGGTAAAAATATTTAAAGTTACTACTGATCCGCATGTGCCCGTAACTTTGATAATTTTCTATATATATAAATCATATGTCACTGGAAAAATTATCTTTCAAAAATTGACTGGATTTCCTTCATAATAACATCCGCTCAAAAAAAGAGAGATACAAATAAAGAACATCTATTTCCCTTATAAAGTTAGGTACATTTGCAATATAATTAAGGATTAATGTACGTACTAGCTGTCCCGCTAGATCTGCCAAAAGAGGTTGCCCGAAAAAACAGCAACTACCAGCAATTTTATTTTCAAACCATGCACGAACCCGTTGAAATATGGACTAAATTTCGGCTGAATCAGTCTAACCATTTAAGATGAGTTAGATGACAAACAAAGTACCAAAGAATTATATATATTAAAAAATAGTAACAAACTTTATTCGAAAAGCAGACTCATCATAGAAAGATGAGCAAAAACCTTTGCTCTTTTAAATAAATGTTACACAGCATTTTTTAGATTTTGTGTGAAGCAGATAATTCCCTATGAGTAGCACCCGAAAGATAAGAAGGCATATTTTAAAATAGGAATATTGATTACAGGATGGTTCGAGCAAGTTCTCTGTTGGCCAGCTGCGTACTCTTCGCGCTGCTTCTCGTCCTGCCAGCAGCGGCTTATCCCAGGTAGTGGTACCTTATCTTTCATGTAAACTATTACCAATAATAACTTTTAATATATAATACTTATATTGATATTTTTAATCTCCGAGTACTAAAAGGAGCTTGACAGGACCAAGAATGTAATCTGTCATGACAGGTTTCGTTCTTGGTAATGGAGTCACTAGATAATAATATAAGGAAAGAACGTTGCTAGGATAAATAACTACTGCAGAGTTCAGGTATAGAATGCGTCTTTACTACATAAGAATATGTTTTTTTTTTATATATTTACTAACACTACAATATTAATCAATCCTTTCTCAAACTACACCGTTTAAAACTATAGTAAACTATACATATTCCAAATAAAAAAAACTTACACCTTTTCCACTTCAGTCCGAGCAACTACTATCATGAAGAGGGCCAGTACGAACCAGAAGAAATCGTGGACATGTTGAACCGCCTCGGTAATCTCATACAGATTGAACGCAAAATGGAAAAGTAAGTTTTTCACATTAAATAATTACCTTTACCTTTATCTGATCTCTCACAATAATGTAAACCATACCGTTTTGAAACAATCAAAACAACAAATATATTATTAAACAATTATAATTGTGTTCTAAAGTTTTTTTTTAATTGTTTATATCATGTCTAAAGCAAAGATATGAGCTACATAGCATTATGTCTGCAAATGTCTGTTTCTAGTGAATAATGCGACATAAACAATTAAAAAAAATCATATAATTAATTTATTATATTTACACCATTCATTTTAGAATGATAATTTTTAGTTCATCTTGATAGATAATTAAGATAATAATAATAACAATAATAATAACAGAAGAAAAATTCTGCAAACAGATTAGGCCAACATTTATATTATAGCACAGATAACATAATATTACATATATAGTATATACACCTAAAAATAGAACATTAATAAGGAAAAATAATAAAAATTATAATAATAATAATGTAAAATTATCAATCATATTTAAACTACCAATAATTGTTTTATAGATACATACCTATTATAATAATATAATTATTATAACATGAATGTTGTATATATTCCATAACGTAACAGCTATTGAGTTCCATTTATTGTGTACACAAATATAAACAGATAAAAAAAAATATATATCAGTACATTTTGTAATTTACAAAGCATAGCAATTTTATTTCAGTATATGTCTTTTGATTGTTTCAAAAGGAATGGAAAGTTCACGTCATGTGTGGTATTGCATGACTTTTAATTGGCCTATTTCCCATTAATTGTTTTCTTATAAAATATCCGAATGAATTCCTAGTACCTAATATAATGTTTTGAACCCTACTGTTTAAAATCAATGTTAATTATAAGTGAACAAATATGTTGTTCATTAATATTTTGTAATCTATGTTAAAGGTTTTGTTTATTGGTATCTAATACGTTATCTAAATTATTAAGTATTTTATTATACATTTTCTTATAATGTTCGAAGTTTTCTCTTTTTAGTTTGTGATGCAAATTGTGTTAAATTTCTACTTCCATAATTTTCTCAAAATAACAAACTATTAAATTTATTGAGTACATACGTATTTCGCTCATACGTATTTTTGCAACACTTTATATCTGTTAATTCTCACTGGATGCATTTGCACTTTTCATCATACAATATAATATAAAATTTTCAAGAAAGTATTTTCGCGAAATTGAATTTTAAATTTGATACTTTTAATACTTGTAGAAACACATCTGATTTTAAATTTAAATTCATTTTCTATTTCTTAGTATAAATATACATACCTATATATAAATTTAAATTATTCTAATAAACTTAAATATATATGGATAAATATAGTCAATTTAAAAATAAAACAAATTGATTGTGAAAAACTAAGTTCGAGTAATAAAAATACATAGTTTTAGTAAACTCAGTATCGAAAGAATTAAATTTGAAAAGCGATATTTTGTTTGTTATTATGAGAAAATTATATTAAAATTTCCACATATTTAATTTATTATCTCTTTGTGTAATATGTTTTGTCTCTTTTCAGCTTTAAAGACGACATAACTAGGTATGTCTTGGTCGTGATATTTAAACGCTTCAGACTTACATTCACATATGTACTTATATATATTTAGCTTAATAATATCTACATTATATGCAATTTTTGGAATTTCTGATACGATTAATAACAGCTCTGCCTAATCATTCAAAGTTCCGTAATATTGTTTAATAATTGATAGATATAAAATCGTTCCAGAAATTCTATCCCTAACAACATTGCTTTAGCTTCCCTATAAGATTAGACTGAACTGTTTGAGTCTGTGTAATGCAGATTAAAAAGAATCCTTTAATGTTTTTCATACATATTCACTAAGATGCTTTTTACACAAAATCATGCAAATATGACCTCATTGAGACCCAGATTACTTTGTGCGGAAAAATATAAAATGTTGTCAAGTAAAAATTTTGTATAGGTCTCAATTTTGTAAAAACTTGCTACACGTAGGTGCTAAGGCGAATAGCACCATTATCTATTTATAATTAATAATAAGAAACCCTAAAATACAGCACCATATATGTACCATATATATATACCCGGGAATTTGTTTGCGCTTTCCCTTTACTTTAGCTAAACATTCCTTTTACCGCTTGTTAGAAGGAATGGGGCATATTACCTGATATAAGATTATTAAGCCCTTCTTTAAGATTATACAAGGAATGGTAGAATCTGAGTAAGATTTGCAAAATATTCGCTAGCTTTTAAGGACAATAGACTCTGAATAAGACTAACAAAATATTCTCTAATTTTCAAAAAGCAATTGGAATATTCGTAACTTTCGTATTATTCGAACAATAGGTAAAAACATTAGGAATATTACAATTACTCATTCAACATTTGAAAATAAATTTTGAAGCAAATTAAATAATTAGGTGGAAACAACGTCACAGACCCGTAGTTCTTCTGTTTGCCTAACAATAATTGAAATTCTATTTTATATTTATGAATAAAAATCGCCTCAGTCGTAAAAATTTTATTATCTCGCTAAAAATGTATTCATGTTAGCTAGATAGGCATAAAAATAGACAAAATCAATTATATATACAAAATATATAAAAACAGAGTGCATTTTGTTATAATTAAAGTAAACTCTGGAATCAACGCACTGATTTGGCAAATTCTTTCATTCTTTAAAATATAGGTACGTATACATTATTTCAGAGTGACATTAGCTTTATACTACGTTCAAAAGTATGAGCACCTGGTAAGAAGAAATTAAGAGGATTCTATATTCACTGTTATGTTCTATATTTACTGATGCATAGAAATCTAAATACGTACACTCATGCACTTTTATTTAATAGAAAATGTTTAACGCAGTTGCACTTGTTCATCCTAACTTTTAAGCTGCATGACAGATTTTTAAATATATATCAACCTGTATAGGCCCTTATTTAATTAACAAAGTAGTGATCCTCGATTACATTTACATAATTATTCAATACTATATTATGCAGTACATATCATTCCCAAGGGCTCAACACACAACATAAAGTTATTTCTCCCCCGCTCAATTTTAACAAGACTCTATTAAATGTAATTTATTTCAGCGAGGTTGAATATCATATTTATAAATATATTGTATACGAGTTACATTTAACCTAAAATACTTCTAAAAATAAATGTATTTCTCTCGTTTTCTTCAAATTTATGAAACTATAATAGAACAGCAAACAAGTGTTGGCCCCCAAATGTTGGATTGTGGAAATCGTGGTTTTTGTACTATCTAAATATCATCCAGGGTATCGCGCATCACCATCATCATCACGCTTTCGTGAATTATATAGACGACCAGAATATTTATAATTATACTTGTATAGACCACGAAAATCAATAATTAATCGTAATATTGAGGATAACTCAAAAACTATAAAATCTTAATAAAATTTGCATACGATCACACGACAAATAATCTAAATCTGTCTACATAGAAAAAAAATTAGAATCTTTTTTTTCCAAAGTTTGTCAATACCAACTATAGTGACGGTTATGATATATATTTAGCACTATGTTTTATTATACTGGATGAGAAACGATCAACTGCTGAGATTCTTTCGAGATGTGCTCGCTACAATAGTATTATGAGGATTTTAGTATTTACATAAAAAATCCGGGTACAACTCGACGGGGTCGCTAAATTGTCCGAATGCTTTACCCGCGACCACCAACGCAAATATTTTTATCGCTATTTGCTACTCTTGTGTGATAACGTAACATTATTATATTAAAGAGAATTTTTTTTTCGCTTAAACACGAAAAATACATTTTTCGTCTTTAAAACAAAATTTGAAGTTTATATGTAGCTTAATTATAAGCAATTAACACGGATATTATTTTATTTAAAAAAAATATATATCTACTATAATATCGTAGACGATTAAAGCACCCGAGTTAAACTTGAGGCTATGACAAAAATCCACTTAAAGTTGCAGTGCTGTAGTAACTTAAGAAGATACGCAATAAGTTATTGTTTTCATACCCGATAGGGAAAGAATTATACTATATAAGATAGATAAGTAATATAATTATATTACTTATCTTTTTTCTAATAATTCTTTCCCACACAGATAGTGAAAGCAAAAGCTAATAAAAAATAAGTATATACTAACAAATATAGCGGGGTGATTTTTATCGAAACGAAATTAGGAAAAATCAAACTATTTAAAATAAGTGATGAATGTATTCTTGAAAATGAGATATTTATAAATTCGTACAAAATAATATCTAAGTAGGTACAGATATAGAAACGCTAATTAACATTTGATAATGCCACGACAGCGATAATTTTTTATAATAGTATATTCTATAAAATCGTATAAAATATATAAATATGGTGTACAATCGTATTCAAACCTTAAAAGTTATTATATATTACTTAGTATTTTTCGGAAGTTCTCGTCATTTCGTGTGTTCACCTTTGAATGACTGTATATTTGTTAGTAACATATGACATATAGATTCGATCGCGAGGACGAATATAAACTATCTATTATCTCAAAATATAATCTAGAAGGAAGTGAAATAGGGATGAAATGTTTGTGCAAACGAAATCGTCGGTTAACAAGTAAGCTTCTCCTAAAACGAAACGCAAGGTTTCAAAAATAACAATATTTACTAAGTTTTATGTTACAATGCTTACTTGCTTCTAATTACTAATTTAGCCGTAGCACTTTGTTAATGACAATGTGTAATCATTATACTCGTTTATTGAATACTAAGCACTTGCTAAGATATTGCCAATTACCTACAATTTATTTTTTTTAGAAATATTTGCTTCTAAATTGCAATTTATCTCATTTCTTATATATAACTTTATTTTCACTGCCTTTAATCGAAACAGCGTATAAAACAATCTGCTTAGTGGCTGATATATATAAAACATAATTCAAATAATTTATATCTATAGATATATACCTTTACAAAAATATGTATAAAGTTGCATTAACAACCACCAAAATAGGTGTGACAGTTTAAAGTCATCCTCGGTAACCTTAGTCTCAGACTAAACAAACCTTGTAGTTGATACACATTCTAAAACTATAAAAATATACTATAATATTTTCAAATTGTTATGATATTATTGATCGAAAAGAAATTATAGATACATAGGTAATTCAGTACTCGTATATTAATAAACAAACGCTGAAGAATATATGTATAGTAACTGTAAATGTTTAATGTATAAAGATAGGTATAATAACAGAATTATATATTGTGAGTAGTATAGTGTACTAGTACCTCGACACCCATTTCCCAAACTTAATACACAAAATAACTGTGCAATTTGTACATAAAAAATAGTGAATAATAGTACATAACATATAATAGAAATTTATCTATTCCACAGTGAGAAGCGAGCCCTTGATCTTGGTCTCAGCCGCGGCTACTCCGGTGCACTCCAAGCCAAGCATCTGATGGGTTTGGCTGCGGCCAACTACGCTGGCGGACCCGGCAGGAGGCGACGGGATGCGCATTAAACATCACAATTTCATTAGAGGCATCCTTTAATCATTCTATAAATCGGCTTAAATAGCAAAGAATGCCTCTTCCATCATTCTGGCTGGCTAATATCATTACATCTGTACCACAAGCAATATGGTCTCTTAATTAATTGACAAAGGCCTTGTTTTTGATGCTTCTAAGAGGAGTTGGTCAATTTTTTCGCATATTCCATCATGTTATACTCAAGAAGCATATTCTGTAGACCATAGCTACATTATACATAGAATGTCTATATTTTTCATTTGAGTTAAATGAAATAAGACCTAAGTTACCCTAGTTCAATAAAGCTATTAAAATTTAAAAAATTATATATAAACATCATATAGTACGGGTTATAAATATCTTTCAAATATATTATATCAAATGTTATTTTTCTATAATAATATATTATTTAGTGAAATTACAAGGCGCTCATCGATTGGTCTTAATTATTTTAATAGATCTCATATATAGTTACGTTAATACTATTGACTGATTTTAATATTACATTATAAGTACCTGTAACTTAATACATTACCATCAAACCCATTGTCACCATGAGATATGTATTCCTTAAGATACTACGCTTATTGATAGATATAATTAAATTCTTCTTAAATAGTGGCAGTATTTCGATAACAGTATTAAAGTTTAAATACACGATGAATATTTAAAATTTTCGATTGAAAACTTCTAGGTTTCAAACGCTTAATAGGTGAATTAAAAATTACTTAACGATCAGCTTTCCGTTCATAAATAAATGTCTATAACAGTGTGTTAATATTTCTATGAATGTATGTGGCAAATTTATCTAGTTTATAGTAAAATATGTGAAAGATACCTCCTGTCTAGAGTTTATTGTTAAAAAATAAAGAGATATTCATATTCTTCTGGGTTTATTTACTTTCAAAATACCTTACCTTTTATAAAACCGCATGGATGCCATCTTGATATTGAAAATGGTTAGTAATCATTCACCAATGTGTATTGAAATCTGAGACATAACTTGTTCTCCACTTTCTAGGCTACAGATGTACTGGATAATAAAAAAATGCTAAATAGTCCTTACTACCAACTCCCCACTCGCTCGGACTCGGAGGTGGGACCCAAAGTATTTGCTTACCTTCAGAGAGCTTAGGGTTCGATTTCCTCACAATACAAATAATTATACACATGAGGTTTGTTTGTATTTGACTGTGCATATTTCCAACTATTATAAGAATGCAAATGATTAATGAATTAGTAAATTCTAAACCTACATCTACTATCTCTCATACTACTAAACATCTTGTAAACTAAACGTCTTGTGCTCTACATCAAATAAGTATAAAAAGTTGCTTTTAATAAATATGTTACAGCGCCATCTATGTCACATACTAGGAACTACACACTACACAACACTTATTGGAACAATAACATTCAAACCAACAGAATCAAAAATAAAACAGAACACTTGTTACCAGCGACATCTATTATACAATCAATAAACTACAAGAGACTTTGCAAAAAGTCAACGCACTTAATATAACGTTCACTAGATGACGGTACTTACATCAAATTAAACACCCGAGGTAGTCATTTTCTTAAATAAATACTTTGGATTTTAATTGTAAATTACCTTAGTATGTCATAAATAGTATGATTATAATACTTATATTATTGATATCACATCGACGTAATAATAAAAATAATTAACATTTTATATTCTTGCCAATAACTAATAACAATATCATCTCAATACAAGATCTGTGTAATTTTTAATGAAATTACAGAATTTTTATTTCAATTATAAATAAATAATTAGTCATACTTTAAATAAATTGTAAAATTATTTTCGTTCCGTCGTGAATTCACAATGTATACAATAATTTCACTTATTTCATAGCATCCCGTATGGTCTAGTGGCTAGGATACCTGGCTTTCACCCAGGAGGCTCGGGTTCGATTCCCGGTACGGGAAACCAAGTTTTTTGCATTTCGTCATCGTTATTTTTATTTATACTTGCTCTTTGTACAAATTAATAAGGTCTGCCAACTATAAAAGTATATTACCCTAAACAAAAGAAGGTGACACGACAAATGTAGTATCTTTACATCCAGTATAATTTAGACCTCCAAAACTAATCGGTTGTCCATTATGTGCCCTTGATCTAAGAGGAGGGGGAGTCCAATATAAAATGGACAGTATGGTGCCTATGTTTAACGATGCTTGTGTTTGTTCACATGGTTGCCTTTAGATTTTTCGACATGGCCGAACCTGTACTATTATTAGTACCGTGTTATACTATTTCAGTCTACACAAAGGGACTGGGAGTGGTACTAGAGAAATACTTATAGTATCTAATGACACTGACACCTTTACCTGATTCTACGAAGTAATAAAATTAATTGCTTGTTTCTATACTTACTGCATACAAAAATGTTATAAACATTTTTTATTTCATATATAATGTAAGTATTAGATTACTGTATTAGACAATTATTACTACAGTTATTTTCGCTCTTGTTTTTTAATTTTAATTTCTGCTATTTTATGTAAACTGCTTTTTCTTTTATTTAGTTTCATAGCGGTTATGAAATGAAATATGAATTTATATAAGCGATAAGTTAGGTAGGGAACAATTTGTAATTGTTGATTGCCATCGAGGTACCCACACGACATATTGAGACTCCGATTACTAGGCAGTTTTTACTAACAACTTCATTATCTACATTTACATAAAAACATTTATCCTAACTGATTAATCAACTCACAGTTTAATCATTAGTTAGATTTTGAAATGTTGGTTGCTGATGCCTTTTAGGCTATGTAAAATATGTCAAATTTTTTTTATTATTTAAAATTTGTCGCTTTCTTTGTGGTGACATCTTTTCGGTCTATATTTCATTATTATGATCCTGTACGTGTATTGCTAAGGTTTTTTTTTTGTTTTAATTACTTATTATATACTAAATACCATAATTATACAAATATTCACACTACTTTAATATATATCTTAAACGGAATGATTTTTTGGAAAAACCAATTCATCATTTCCAAAAAACACATCCATAAGACTGTGAAATTTTCTATAGACTAACGTTAGGCAGCGATTTTTAGCAAATAGTACTTTTTTTAATAAAGAGTTTTGGGCTTTTACACGATATTTTAGACCTGTAGCACTGCCACCTGCGGAGATCTATTGTGACTGCCCTTTTTTTCAGATTTCTCTACCTAGGCTCAACAGAGACAAGTATTGAGTAGTAGTACAGATAAGGGAATATTATATTATAATAGCATTATATTGAATATGACATCAGTGGCGGCCAAGGAAACAAAGATATCATTGTTAAAGTATTAAAAATCGACAATAGCTGAGTGGTGTACGATAGGCAAGTGATTATCGTATCGCAAAACTTCAGTATAGGTACTTGAAAATGTACTTAAACGATTATATATGCATATGAAACGAAACTAATCAAATTACATATCACGATGATGTCAGATTCCTATTACTTATCATATATTCATAACTTTGCTATTTATATGTTAAACGGTAGTGTGCGCGGTCGTCGACCCCGATCAATATTGCACCGAGGACTGAGACGGGGACACCTAGAGCAAGTTTGTTTTACAGGTGTGGCGCTATGCCCTATTTACATTGGCCATGTTTGCAAATTGAGCAAGTAGGTTGATCAGGAGAGTGGTGTAAAGCAGTGGCAGTGGTGTGGTCGGATATTATAGACTAATAAATAATGTAGCTATTTCGCGGAACTTCGCGTTACAGTTGTCCTGTTTTTCCTTGCAGCTCTACAACTAATGGTAGTAGCGTGATATTATATTGCCTATGACACTGTTTTTTTAAATATGACATCCAGCTCTTACCCCCTACAACCTCACAAACTTTACCCTTCTATATTGTTAGTATAGATAGGTTCACAATTCACACAACATTATCTATTTTTCTTATATTGGAACAGCGCTGAAGCCTGAAGGTAAATGGTAACTGCACCATAGTACGTTGTCATATGACACACCTTTGCATCTTTTTTTCATTTCTTCATTCATCTTTTGGCTTCTTATGCACGTCATATTTTATTTCTGCCAGGATCTCTACCAATCATTACCTCTACCAGTCAGTAAGGCTAGCTACTTCAATTGAGAAGAACTAGCAAGAAACTTATTTTTTTAGACTGTTTCAATAGTACTACCACAGATAACATAATATTACATATACATAGCGTTTAAGTAGTAGCCTGACATATTAAAAAAATCCCTAGTCTTCAGACAGTCGTTCACAACTAACTGAGGACTTCATGATTCTGTAACTTGTAATTTCACTGCTGCTCGGTGGCTTAAATAGACAAGAAAGATGTTGTTTTTGTGAATTCACCCTGACTACACACAAACAAATCCATTCGTTCTGCTATTTGATAGAGAGTGGCCAGTACCAGTGTCAGCGGTGCTTTGTTTAGCACGTTACTTCTGACGCGAGGTACCGCTAACATCTGGGGCCTAGTCGCTGCCTCAGATAATTATCCGGGTTCCTAAATCTTAGTAAACTAAGCACCAAAGAATTGTTGATTTGACCTCGAAACACTTTAAATGTGTATGAGACAATAGTCAATTCCTTCATACTCGTAATTCATTATATCCCACCATGCCCAACACGAACAGAGTGGGGACATCAAAGGACAAAAGGGATATTATTAGTATGAAATATATTATTGTTAGAATGGGTTACATATATTGGTTAGTTTTGTGCCCTACACTCTCTTAATTATTTAATTAATACGTATACTAAAATTAATTCCAAAATAACGGTCTATTAAAAACTAAACAGCGTTTTAATTCTAAAAGCTACCACCAACAATTATTGAAAAGGCCGAGTTCCTAGAATGATCCTTAGAAACACCTTACTGGTTTATAATACCTCGTTTATAATCAATTGTGATTTTGTATTTGTATGTAAGCATTAAATATTCCTCGAACTCTACTTTCAACTGATGAAGGGACGACCTTTGTGTTTAAGCGGATTACAAAACATATTCGTCATTATTCGATGATTGTTTTTAGTATCAATAAAGTTTACGATTACTTATTACTTATATCTTCTCTTGAATACTTTTTTCTTCTCATTAATTTTAAATATCTTTGCTTTTGACATATTAAAAAACACTTTTTTTTTGTTCCTAAAGCAAATTAACTTAATTTATAATGTAAATTGTACTCGATTATAATAGACTGGTTTGTTATTTTCTATTAACTATATTATAATTGAGAGATGCAAATGTTTCTAGTCTAAGCAATGCAGTTTGCAATTTCAACTGTGAAACGGTACAACGGTACATACGTAATTGCTACAATTTAGATTTCAAAGGCTCAGTAGAGGTTCGACAATTTTTTCTCACATTATACATTTGGACTTATCGTCAGGCCGGTGGTTCCTAGAACGTGTAACTCAGTAACCGAAAGTACATATAGTACTAATTAAGCGCAGTCAGCATCGTTAAAAAATCGCCTGGGAAATTTCTAGTTTAAATTCTCTGTCTATTTTCACTCAGTAATTGGTTATGTTCTGCAAACACACTTATAAATAAAATAAATATAAATAAAACACATAACAAACGTAGCGGGAGTAGGGATTACCCGAAAGAAAACGTAGTAATCGTAGTAAGTAAATACAGCCCTTATTTACTATACAAGAATATGTACATTGTACAGTCATGCACAATATTTAAATACCTGTCATTTAATTGCAATAATACGAGTTTATTATACGAAAACATCACTGAGATACAAAATATATTATATATCA